AAAATTTGAATGGATTTTATATTAAAAAATTAGATACATTTTATATGAAGAATTTGCACATTTTATATTGAAAAAATGATACATTTTACATATAACAAATTGATATATTTAAGAATAGGTATATTTTAGATTAAAATTTTAAGACAAAAATGTCCCTTATCTTTTTCAATATTTATAGGGATATGATATCCATATACCCTTTATTACTTCTCACACATCCTTTTAATTTTCAGCTGTTGGATCTGATAAATTGAAAAAGATCAACGGACAAAAATTAACAAAAATATGTAAGAAGTAAAATAGAATGTGTGCCCTATTTATACCAACCAAATCATAGAATAAACCCTAAAATTTTATCATCTTCTTTCCATCTTCTCTGCCGCTGCCTTCTTTTCCCGTAGCCTTCCTCCTCACCCTCATCCTCTCCCGTAGCCTCTCTTTTCTCACTTCTCACTTCTCTCACCCTGTCAGCCCCCGGCGCACCGCTCAACAGCCAGAAAGACACAGCCGACGGCACCCAGCCAGCAGCCAGATTGACCCATTTGGGTGGGTCTTATACTTTGATAAAAGCCGCACCATGATTCCAACCCTTGACCAAGCCGTTGTGGTGTTCTGATATCAGGTGAAAAGAAGGATCTCCCGATGGGGCAGTACCTTCACCAAATGAAGACCCCGGTGAGATGAATAATAAAAACAATCTCATCAGCCGCAGAACGTAGCGCAGTTTTCGGTGCCTTCTGAACCAGGTCAATTTTACTATGTTTGGTAGTTTATCTGAAATTTGTTTCCACTTGTATTGTTTCAGATTTTTCATACCCCTGAAGGCTTGATTTCCAGTGGTAAAATGGGAACTGGGAAGTCTGCAAAGAAACCTGGTGAATTATTGTTGCATATGTGTTTTCACTGGAAATATTTTATGTTTTTACTTTATTGAGAAGCGTTAATTTGCCAGATAAAGGAAAAGCTGCAATGGAGGAGGCACGCATGCGTGAGAAGGTCCGAGAAATACAGAAAAACCTTCCTCCATGCTTAGGCTCTCGGGGAATTAGTATAAAAAAACAGTTTTTGTGTTTGGTAAATATTCAGTTTCAACTTTTTTAATGAAAAAAGCCAAAAATAAGAAACTGCAAGCTTTGAAAAACTGATTTTTTCTTACATCTGTTTTACATAAAAGTTTACCAAACATTATAATATTACATTTTTTTTATAAAAGTACTTTTACAATAAAAGTTTACTAAACTCTGCTGCTTTATTTCATAACTACTCATTTTCATAACTGCTTATTCTTATAATACAGCAGAAGTAATTTTTTTTTTCAAAGCACATCAATACTAATCCAGCCCTCAGTAGTTCATTGATATATTCGCTCTGAGTATTTTTATTTCTTTTCATTTCTTGTTTGTTCTCTTTGCTACTTTTAAATCTTTTAATTCACGAACCCAAAATTTTGACCAAATTTTTTCAGCTATGAGGTTTCTTTGACACTTTATATGTTCCCAGACTACTTAAATCAAAATTTCTGCCTTAATATGCTTATTTTTGCTTGGTGAACATGTCTGCCTCAGTTGTCATTATCTGTTAGCCACTCATGATTTTAATGATATTGTTCATAATTTGACGATTCCCTCTATTTGGATTAAATATTTCTCCATTGTTAAGTTTATTTGTTTACAATGTCACAATTTTCTAAAGACCTAGACCTATACCTTGAGTTTGTAAATTTTGTTGTGATGTATGACAGTGTTGGTGGCGTTTGCAGTAATATGTAAATCTATCACATAAAAATAGGGGTGTTCAGATATAGATTATGCAAACTGTCAAATATGAGCTTATTTAGATATATATATATATATATATATATATATATATATATAGAGGTTATAAAGGCCTACCTCTGAATGGAGACCCGAGTATTTATCTTTCATTGCGGCCTCGAACAAGGCTTGCAGCGCATCATTTTCTGCTTGTTTGGATTCGACTTGCAATCGTCCTTCCAGCCTTCTTTCACGGCTCTCCTCATCAAATCTCGTCAACATGTTTTCACTGTCGTGTAAGCCTATGAGGAAAGATAATGCAACTTTTGCACCACTCCCCATGTCATAGGCCCTTTCCATTAGTGAAAACTTAAGACTTCAAGCTCTCTGTTGGGCATTCGCAATTAGGCTGATATGCACTCTGATGCTGATATGCACACCCATCAGAGTGATTTGGTACAACAACTCCCTGAAGGTAATGCCCATTGGGTGTATTATCCTCTACATAGCCTAGAATTAGCCCGTATCCGCAGTAAGAGTCGACCCTCTTCATGTAGTACTTGCCATTTCTAACAATTTGATTAAATCTTCTTGCTCGTGATGCTTGACTCGTCACAAAATCTAATGTCATGGCAGAATTCACCATGCCATTGCATCTTAAGGACATTGTGGGTGGGCTATTAGAGACTAGACTAAGCTTTGTGGTTTGATACAGAATGCCACCGTCGTACAAAGTTTGTCGTGAATCTGTTGCCATAACAATTGTATGGTGCAATATAATAATAAAGCAAGTGGTGTCTTTCACAGAAAGCGATGATTCCTGTTGAAAACATGGCATGATTTTGATCAAGCAACATCACGACAAAATTTACAAACTCAAATTGATCTTTCCGAAGCCTGAAAAAGTTTATTTGGTTAAATTTTCCAAAGGCCTATACCCAAAAACTTTTCCAGGCTTTGGAAACATCAATTTGAGTTTGTAAATTTTGTTGTGATGTTGCTTGATCAAAATAATGACATGTTTTCAATAGGAACCCTCGCCTTTTGTGAAAGGCACCACTTGCTTTATTATTATATTGCAACATGCAATCGTTATGGCAACAGATTCACGACAAACTTTGTACGATGGTGGCATTCTGTATCAAAGCACAAAGCTTAGTCTAGTCTCTGATAGCCCACCCATAATGTCCTTGATATGCAATGGCACGGTGGATTCTGCCATGTCATTAGATTTTGTGACAAGTCAAGTGTCACGAGCAAGAAGATTTAATCAATTTGTTAGAAGTGGCAAGTACTACATAAAGAGGATCGACTCTTGCTGCGGATACAGGCTAATTCTAGGCTTTGTAGAGGATAATACACCCAAGGGGCATTATCTTCAGGAAGTTGTACCAAATCACTCTGATGGGTGTGCATATCAGCCTGATTGCGGATGCCCGAGCTTGAAGTCTTAGTTTCCACTGATGGAAAGGGCCTATGGGGAGTGGTGCAGAAGTTGCACTATCTTTTCTCAAGGCTTGTACGACAGTGAAAACATGTTGACGAGATCTGATTAGGTGAGCGGTGAAGGAAGGATGATTGCAAGTCAAACCCGAACAAGCGAAACATGATGCGCTGCAAGCCTTGTTCGAGGCCACACTGAAAGATAAATACTACTCGGTCCTCCATTTAGAGTTAGGCTTTACCCATTTAAATATATATCTAAATAAGCTCATATTTGACAGTTGCATAATCTATATCCGAACAACCCTAAATGTGGTCACAACTCTAGCTTGCTAAACGAAATCAGGGATTTCAATTACAAATACAATGAAATGTGAATTGAACTTGGAAGCATGTTATGCAGTAGTATGTGTTGATTTGAATGAGGTGAGTCGAGAATGCAAAGTCATCAAGGGCAGGTTGAATGACCTCAAATTATGAATGCCCCAAGAAGCTCTCAGAAGACTCTTCTTGCATATTTTCAGGCGATATGAAAGCAACATATTGTTATTCCAATCTTCATCCAAACTGTAGAAGATTGGTTTTTCTGAAATTACCCTTTTCCTTGGTAAATTCCAAAATGTCTCTGATTGGTCTTGTTTTCTGAAAGTGACCAGATGGAGGTAATATCCTCCCCATAGATATGGTCAGCGGTGCCCTACTTACTCAGCCTCATTCAGATGCGAGTCTTACTGTAATTTTTTCCTAAATTTCAGTCTTTCTCTAGCAGAAGTAGGGCACCGCTGACCATATCTATGGGGAGGATATTACCTCAATCTGGTCACTTTCAGAAAACAAGACCAATAAGAGACATTTTGGAATTTACCAAGGAAAAGGGTAATTTCAGAAAAACCAATCTTCTACAGTTTGGATGAAGATTGGAATAACAATATGTTGCTTTCATATCGCCTGAAAATATGCAAGAAGAGTCTTCTGAGAGCTTCTTGGGGCATTCATAATTTGAGGCCATTCAACCTGCCCTTGATGACTTTGCATTCTCGACTCACCTCATTCAAATCAACACATACTACTGCATAACATGCTTCCAAGTTCAATTCACATTTCATTGTATTTGTAATTGAAATTAATACTCCCCAACGAAATGAATTTCGTTGAGAATTCTACCCAATCAATCAATCTTTATATATATTTTTCACTGTACTTGTGATTCAATGAAATTCATCCTCGAGAATATGACGCTCAACCAGCCCGTTTGGTCATTAATTACTTGGAGTTCAATTAACTTGTTTCAGCTAGGTTACATATCAATTTCAGTCAAAATGTTAATAAATCTTCGCCAAAACTTGTGGTACCTACCTATCCATATGTAACGAAAGACGTGCTCCTTTTTATGGCTAAGACTTTTGTTTCACCATTTTAACATCTAAACTAACACGAAACTAAGACGGGAGCGGAGCATAATAGTCGAACATAGGACCGCTTGAGGGGAGATTCTCATATCAAGAGGACCGAAAATGTGAATGAGGAGAGATCACCTACTATGTCCTACATTTGTATGTAGCAACTTGTCTCCGGTTTTAGTGCTCCCAAATATAACTTTCTTGCAACGGGCACGCTGCTCTTCTTTGCAACTGCTCCGTTATAAGTTAATAATATCGTTCATACAACTCTTTGTTTGTTGCGTTACTCTTTTTTTCGAATTTTTTTATAAGATGGCATCATAACGTAACAAGAGCAATGCTTTGGGTTAGTTGTCCACACGACACACAAGTTCGTGAGTAGGAAATTATCACGTAACAACACTTCACAAAACAGAAGAAAATTAATTGGACAAAAGAGTTCCTACAAATTCAACATCGCCTCATTGAAGGATAAATTCTGCCCTACAACCGAAGGTGTATCTTCTTGTGTCTATGGCGTTCAGTTGCGTGACCTAGACCCTAGGGCTAAGCTAGCAATTGCCCTGGGCCACGGTCGAAGAAGAAAAGATAAAAACACCGCAAATCCATTTGCCTTCATCATCCTTTTATAAAGCGGAGTGATTTTAACAAACGCATGGATAAATGGATAATACACGGGACTTGATACGGCAAAAGCATACGAGTACAAAAGGACATCTTCAACTACCACCAAAACATGCCAACCATATGACTACATAAACACTTCCATGCTTCCTACAGATTTTCATCTCAGGAAGTCGTTGACCGTATGATTCATCAAAAAGCAATGCCATGGCTGCTAAATCTTACATACATCAGCTAGCACACCCACCAAGTTGGGCATTCTCCTGTATCCAGTGATTCCAACAGAAAAACCAACGCAAAGTGAAACTTAGAAAGCACAACATGCGTCTAGGATAAACTTAATCTTTACCATGAACGATATTCACTGATTCCAAACGAAAATCAGGAATACACTCAAAATACTATGCGATTCCACACAAGGGAAATTATTAGTTATCATCGTAGAAAAGAGAATGAGGGTCACCTTATAAGAGAAACCAAAAATTTTATACAAGCATTAAAAGACGAAGATTAATGAAAAGGGGTCAAATTTTCACAGAGGGTGCATACTGGGCAAGAGCAAGTTAGCATAGCCACAGTGCATCTGAATGCATGTCTCACAAAAGAAATCGTCAAATGTAGTGTACAGCATACAAGGCAGATTCGAGAGAATCTAGAAAAAGTCGCCCTAGACAGATGATATTTGGTGCTAAAGGACGTGGACAAGCTCAGCTACCAGAAAAGAACTCTAAGAGGGACTAGAATCTGGACTTTAGTAAGAAGATTAAATTCAAACGGAAATACTGCAAGATCACTATGTAAAACAAGGAACACAAAACGATGTCGAAGAAGCAAAAACAAAAACAGATTCAGGAGACAATACAAAACATGAGAGTATTGGTCATATATGCAAATGTTAAGCTGTGTATAGAATTCAAGCCTATTGGAACCAAAGGGGCTTGTATAGATTGATGTCACATTTGATATACTCCACATTAAATGGCAAGGGACTCTGACACAATCTCTCTCTTTCCACGATCTCACAGTTGTGAACAACACCACTATAATCTATTTTAAGGTTTAAAATAAAAAACCCACCTCAATGAGAGAATTAAGGCGCCTATGAATTTTCAACCAGGCGTACAGGGGTTCGAGAGTTTCCCATCAGGTGTAAGCCTTTCACGCGAAAGCGTATGCTTTGCGTTAAGGCGGTCGCTATTTGACCAAGTCTTATGGCTTTTGGTGTCTGCCTACAATACTTGATTCTTTTTATTGGAAACTAAAGTAAAATATCATGTATTCAAACTGTATGAATATAGGAATTAAAATAAACTGGCCGGAAAAAGAAAATTAACCAAACTCACCACCCAGAAAATGCCACCAGCTAGAATTGCGCAATTACTCCAACCCAGCAGACCTAGCAGCTTTGTACCTTAGCTTTCTATTGTGATTTTCCTGCCAAGATTTTCCAAAAGAATGAGTTAACAACTTCCTAATATGGGATGCAAAGCACACAATTGACATCACTAACATTGAAAATTAATGATTATTTGACGGCATTGACAAAATTCCATCAAGTCTCACACAAAATTCTCGAAAACTTACTAATTTCAGTAAAGGCAATCGTAGCATACAAACTCAATATTTCAAATGACAAATTCATTATTAATTGACTGCACTGACAAAATCCCATCCACAATTTACTTGCAATTCTCCAAAAATTTACCATATTCAGTAAACAAAAAGGCAATCATTGCACACAAACTCGATATTGTAAATGACATATCATGATTGTTTGACAACATTGACAAAATCCCAACAAAATTCACATGGAATTCTCCGAAAATTTTACTAAATTCAGCAAGTGCTCACCTGCTCAAGAACCTTGGCAGAGCTCTGCTCAACGAGCCTGGTCAAAGTTTCAATCTTGACAAGCATTTTCTCATACAAGTCCTCGACGCCGGCGGTGTAATTCGCGGCCTCCGAACCCATCAGCCTACTGAGGCTTCCAACATCCAAACCCTCACTGCACATATCAAGTTCGCTCTGATCCTTGTTGTGCTGCTTGAGTTGATCTAAGCTCTCCTCTCCCCTGTCGACATTCATCGGCGAAACCCTAAGCTCGCAGGGCAAAATTGGGAACGGCGAGCTAGGGTTGAAATTCCCGTAATGGGCTCGGAACGCGGGCCCAATGTTGACGATCTGGATCGATTTCGGCTCGAAGGAGTGCTTGGATGGCCGGAACTGATAGGCACGGTACTCGTGAGTGTGGATGGTCTGATCGGTGACCGGAGAAGCGAAGAGGAGAAAGAGGGAGGGGGTGAGAGTTGGGGCGGCGGCGGAGCTCTCGGGAGGGTTTTGAATTGGGAAGTTGAGAGTGGGGTTGGAGGAGAGAGAGTTGGAGACTGAGAATTCTCGGAGGGAGGGGCGGAGGTGGGTTCTACGGCGGCCAGAGAACCAGCCGAGGAGGTGGGAGGAGGGGGATTGGGCCTGCTGGGCTTGGACGAGGCGGCGGAGGGAGAGGGGGTCGACCCGGCCGGAGGAGTTGTAGAAGGAGAGGGTGGAGCCGGAGCAGAAGAAGGCGGTGACTGTGGCGATGAGAGTGGCGGAGGAGGTGGAATTGGGAGAGTCGTCGGTAAGAGTAGGGGGGATGTGGCTGACATGGCCGAAGATCAGGCCGTCGACGGAGCCTGGGGAGGTGGAGAAGCGTTGGATCGTGGAGGCCAGGGCTGGGCCTGACATCGCTACCTTGTCTAGGGAATGGTCTTCCATCGCATGACCAGATTAGCAGACACAAAGAGAGAGAGGAGAGAGAATCAAGAGTGCGCGAAACAGAAATGAATTAAATGGCAGTTGGTAGCTCACTGACTGGTTTATTTGTAGATGTTTTATTTTATTTTTTACCCTACAAAAAATGTAAAAAGGGTTTTTTACTTGATTTTCAGAATAATTTTTCAAATTACATGGATTTTTTAGATTAAAATTAGAGAAACATATTGTAGATGCAAATTTTCGCCTTCTCCTTTTTTGACAAAATTGCACCTACAAAACAATCAACATACTTGGTCAAGGCCAAAAGTCTCACGTGCCCACAATGAATAGGGGCTTTGGCCGAAGAACCTCCAATGTCAGTTATAATTTAGAGAGAAAAATGTTTGGAGAGTTTTTGGGAGTTTTGCAAGAATGTGTAACTTAGTTTTTTAGAGAAAATGGGGTCCAATTTATAGAGCATGGCCGGCCCTCTTTGGGAAAGAGAGTGGCCGGCCTTTGGGTGCTTTTTGGGGTGTAATGGGTGAGTTATTTGGCAATTAATGGATTAACTAGGTAATAAATCCATTAATTGGCCAATTAACTCAATTTATATGGAATGTTTTGAAGGTTATGGAGTAAATACCTTGTAGGGAATATAAGATGAGGATGGATGAAATAATTTTGAATTTGTTACCTATTTTGGGCACTTTTGGCTTGGTTGAGAAAGACTTGCCAGTTGCTCGTGCGTAAGAAACCTGGTGTGTCTCGAGGGTAATTTTGTCATTTTTACCCAAAAATCCACGTGTCGCCTCTTGATTATTTTTGGCTCCACAAATGCCCCCACACATATTTTGGAATGTAGGGTTTATTTCAGTTGAAGAAATTTTTTGTTTGGTTTATGTTCATCACAATTTTTCTTCTTTATCATTAGATTCACGCAGTTATTTTATTGAACTCTTCACTTGCGATCTAGTCTCTCAAGTCCTTAGTAGAATTTTTCGAAGCCATATATGATGTGCCATTCTCTCGTCTAGTTTTGTGCATGTTAGGATCAAATTCGAATTTAATACCTTTCCATAAGGACGAATTTGAGTGATATCTAGAAGTGAGTGCTTGCTACGTAATAAACTAAATCAACTCCTATAAATTGTTTGTTTGTGCAAGTTCTCTTCTAAGTCTTTAATATTTTCGTGTTATGCAAATTTGTTGTATTTTCTTAAAGATTCTTAGAGATGGGAAACTAAGATGGGAAACTAAGGGAAACTAATTTCTACTTTTTCAATTTATTTTGGAAATAATTAAACACACAACCATATACTTATCAAAGGTAAGCAACGGTGGTGAATTCTAAGGCTGCTGCTAGTTTCATCATTAGAAACGAGACTGGAGACCCTATTGTTGCTGGTGCTAGGTCCTTGGGTGAAAGTTCAATTTGTGTTGCTGAATGCTTGGCCTTGAGGGATGCATTTTGGTTAGCGAGAAGAAGTTTCAAGAAAGTCTGCGTGGAAGGAGACTCTAAGTTGGTGATTGATGCTATTACAGGATCTTGCATTGTTCCTTGGCGTCTCATTGATGATATCAAGGATATTGCAAAATATTTTGAGTACATTTTCTGGACACGTGTAAAGAGAACTGAATTTTTTGTCAGATGCAATTATCAAGGCTGGATTTCATTATATATTTGATTGTACGAGAACTGGTTGTAATCGTGGTCACTATTTAATTTATGTGTTTTATTTATTTTATTTTTTGCATAAAAGAAAGTTAAGCAATCTCATAATATAACATAATAAAACATTCATTCTTCTGCTTTGTTAACAGAAACACAACTTGAAAGAGTAGATTATTATCCCCAACAAAAAGAATAAAAAAATATAACTAAATCCTGTATTTACATATACCAAAGAATATAATTTAATTTTAATGCCTATACCTCCTCCTAATCCTATGAACAAATTAAGTGATAAGATAACAACAAAACCCACATTTATCCCAAATAAAGTAATAAACCCTTTTTTACTCAGCTTCTTGTGGGGGTACTTCAGCTCCTCCTTCAGCTGCAGAACCACCAGTTGCCTGATCAGGCTTAATCTCCTCCAGCTGCTGCAGAACCTGCTGAGCTTCCGGCCGCGCAGCCGGCGATGGATCCACACAATGCAGAGCCAACTTCAATGTGTTAAGCAGCAGGTCACCTATGGTTTGCACATCCCTCACGAGCTCCAAGTCAAAAACTTCATTTGTCCACTCCTCTTTCACAATTGATGCCACCCACTGGGGCAAATCCATGCTGTTCATCGGTTCCCCGGGGGATTTTCCTGTCAGGAGCTCCAGTATGAGCACCCCAAGGCTGTACACATCAGTCTTTGTTGTGGCCTTCTTGGACTTTGAGAGCTCAGGTGCGTTGTAGCCGAGAGTTCCTGCGGTGGCGATCACAGTGGTGTTGGCGGCCGCAGTCATGAGGCGCGAAAGGCCAAAGTCTGCAATGTGAGCATTGGTCTGCTCATCAAGTAGAATGTTGCTGGATGTGAGATTGCCATGTACAATGTTCTCGTCGTTGTGGAGGTAGCATAGTCCACGAGTGATGCCGATCGCTATGTTCATCCTTGTTGGCCAATCAATGATGGTGTCTGGCCCTCGAGCTGCATAAGAAATATACATCACAAACATAAGATGGTTAAGGGGTTAAAGGTGCTTTCCGACAACTAAAAGCGCTTAGGCATGTCATCAAAGGAAATAGATGAGCATAGTTGAATCAACTTACCATGAAGGAAAGATGCAAGGCTACCCTTAGACATGTAATCGAAGACGAGAAGCTTCTCTCCCTTAGGTCCCAAGTAATAAGCCCTCAGAGCCAAGAGATTCGGGTGGCGAATCTTCCCAATTGCTGCAGCTTCAGTTTCGAATTCCTTCTGACCTTTCGTTGTCTTTTCCCTCAATCTCTTCACTGCAACTTCATTTCCTTCCTCTAATGTTGCCTTGTATGCAGTCCCATATGTGCTCTTCCCCATTATTTCAGCAGTGGCACACAGCAGGTCGTCAGCTGTGAAAACAAACGGCCCATCAAAATGAACAAGCTTCCCACCCGCTTCACCGCCATATTCAACTCCGGTACCACCAGGAACTGCCTTGGCAGCGATCCCAGCATCAGCGGCTTGCTTAGCCGTTGTACCATTCATTCCTTTTGAAGCAGACCTTTTCCTGACCAAACAAACAAGCAGAATGCAGCAGAGTAGAAGCAGAACCGCCAGGAGGGAACCCGCCGCTATGAGAATTTTGTCCTTCGTACTAAGTTTGTGGTGATGTTTTTTCTTCAAAGGCTGCTCTGTTGGCGGAGAAGATGGAAGAATCTGAGGCGGGGGAGAAGAACACGGAGTTGAAGCGCTGTACCCGCACAGCTGAAGATTGCCCGCAAAAGAGCTAGTATTGAACTTTTTCGAGAGGAGAGAAGGGACGGGGCCAGAGAGATTGTTGTGAGAAACATTGAAGGAAGTGAGATTGGCTAGGCTGGAAAGTGAAGCAGGAATTTTACCACTGAAGTTGTTTTCGGATAAATCGAGTTGGTAAATTCCAGAGATATTGCCAACAGATACTGGAATGTGGCCACTGAAATTGTTTTTCTTCAAGTTAAGTACTGAGAGGTTCTGCAACCTTTCCAGGCCTTCCGGGATTTGGTTATTGAGGCGGTTGCCCTCGAGGTTCAACGAAACAAGGGAGGAGAGGTTGGAGAAGCTAGAAGGGAAGCTGCCATTGATGGCATTGTTGGATAAGTCTAGCTTCTGGAGCCTTGTGAGCTCCCCTATTTCGTCGGGAATGGTCCCGGAAATCTGGTTGTTGTTCAAATAAATCTCTTCAAGAAAACCCATTTTGCTCAGAGAACTTGGAATGGTTCCGGAAATCAGATTATTATCAAGGGTCAGGATCGTAAGTTTGTAACTATGATTTCGATTTCCTGCACCCCAAGTGCTTGGAATAGGACCAGAGAGGTTGTTGTGTTGGAGGGCAAGGATGATGAGGGAAGGGGACTTGGTGAGACTAGTTGGGATGAAACCCGAAAGCGAATTGAAGCTCAGATTAAGTCTGTACAGCTTGGTAGAATTTGCAAGACTAGAAGGGATTGTACCTGTAAGCGAATTTTTGCTCAAATCAAGAGTTTGAAGAAGAGGGCAGTTACCAATCGAAGGCGGGATAGAACCCGAAAGCCGGTTGTTGAAGAGGTAAACCCCTCTGAGATTGGGAAGGAAGCCAAGAGACAAAGGGACAGGGCCAGCCACGACATTGTCGTGCAGGCTGAGCTTCCGAAGCGCTTGCAGCTGGCCAATCTTTTCCGAGATTCTGCCCCCGAGCCTCTTCCACGGAAGCTGGATTGCAATGACCTGTCCGTTCACACACTTGATCCCTGCCCACCCGCCCAAGCAAGCTCCATGTCCGCTGTCATTCCAGCTGCGCAGTGCACCAGTGAAATCAACAAGCTCGCGCTTGAATGCTCGAAGAGCTTGGTAATCGGACTGAGTCACAATCACTCCATCATTCCCTCGCTGGCCCGAAACAGGCTGGTAAGTGACAATTAATAGCTGAACAAAGAGGAAGGCATGGATGACAAACAACAACTTATTTTCCATGAACATCGAAGGACCACAATGTCCAGGAAGATTCGAAGATGCTGGAGAAAACAAGCGAATGGAAACCCGAAGAGAAGATTAAAGGAGTGAGCTTTTTTCGGGTTGAGCTCAAGTTGTGAACTTTTTTATTTTTTGTGCAAGTGAAGAAATGAAATGGAAGATAAATAAAGAGGGAGAAATATCTGAGTGAGGGAACAAGTGAGGTCGGAGACAGAGTCAATTCTTCATGTTTTGTTTATCAGTTAACGGCTAGTTTTTTTTTTGTGTCGTGGGGTTTCCACCGTATAAGTTATAACGGCTTGGGTTGAAAAACGTGGGTCTTCTCTTCACTTGACTGGAATCCAACGGCTATATTATTATTTGGCATCCAATTCCAATCCAATGCTTCAAGTATGACGAAATGACCATAATAACCTCGAGCTATGTGGAAGTACAAAACTTTTGCAGACGTCCTAGGTTGGCTCGAGATCAATGATGCCCCCTAAAAGTTTTTCCTTTTACCCTTTGGGTGGCAATGGCATCAGCATGAATGAATGTTTATAGCATCGCACTTGTTTTCTGGGAAAACTATAGAAAGTTACTCTATCTGGTTCCCTTGATCATCGTCAAAAGCGTGATGATAACAGAGTCGGATTTCATCCTGAAAGCACACGGTCTGGTAATCGCATTTGTAATTTTCTTCCACAACACAATCTGCGGTGTAGAATGTAGATTACTTATTCTAAAAGCATTGTTATTTAACATGGCCCCGAACAACCAAATCAAATGTGTTGAAAGTAAACTTGGAAGAGCCAAAAACTTCTGCTTGACATAAACATATCAAAAGGAAGAAAAAGCATGCTACCTTCTCCCTCTTTTAACAAGAAGAACACAAACAAGGGCAGAGGAAGAAAACCCAGATTTAGCATTGCACAAACAGATAACAACGCGATCGTTCCACGCCCCCATCAGCGTTCCAGTAAAAACCATATACCGCTAAGACAATGGTACACTAATTATGCATCCATGGAATAAAAATCAAGAACGAAAAGATTTCGACCTGATTTGGTACTGAGGTGATTCTGAAAAAAAACTGGTATAAAAAAAAGCTGGGAGCTGTTTTTTGTGTTTGGTAAACATTCAGCTTCAGTTTTTTTTCATAGTTTTGGATGAAAAAAAGCAAAAAACAAGAAGCTGCAAAACCCAGCTTTGAAAAAATGGTTTTTTTTCACATCTGTTTTACATAAAAGTTTACCAAACACTATAATACTGCTTTTTTTTTTTTTTTCAAAAGCACTTTTACAAAAAAGTTTACCAAACACTTTGCTGCTTTGTGAAATTTTTTTTTTTCAAAAGCACTTTTACAAAAAAGTTTACCAAACACTTTGCTGCTTTATTTCACAGCTGCTTATTCTCACAGCACAGCAGAAGCAGCTTTTTTTCAAAGCACAGCAATACCAAACCACATCGTGGATGAGGATATGCTTCCATGATAACCGAATTCTAACCCATCATCAAGACCGGGTATCAGCAATGGCATTGCATATATCATGATCCATACTTGCAAAAGCAAAATGAAACCTGATTGAGGCATGTTTGCTGACTATCACACAGATGAAAACATCATTTTTGATCGAAAAAGACATTATCGACTACATGGATAATAGATTAATCGGCAATCTTCCTAAAAAAAGAAAAACCGAAATGGTAACAATGTAGCTGATAACAATCTCAAACACAGGAAAAGTATCAAAGACTGCAATCTAGTGATTAGATCAAAGACATTGTAGAAGATACTAACATTCATGCACTCATACAAATTAACTAGCCGAGGCATTCGGGTCTGAACAACGGTTCATAGAGATGAACCCAGAAGATGCACATTGCAGATTTGCAGATAGAACAAAAAGAAATGATCTGTAGCAATTACGATTCGTATTTGACAAAACCAACTGAAGAAATACAAGGGGACAAAAGTTCGATTGATAGATCTACCAAGAACCATGAATAAACATGAATTCGCTATCTAATCAGAACTAAAGTACACAGATCCATACAAATTGGTCAATAAAATCCACCCTACATATATTTATATAACAAAAACTTCAAATTTATTAATTTTTTGTGGTTATTCAACTAATTATACCATCATGACCTTGATCGCGATCTAATCACAATGTGGGGAGATAGATCAGATCAACCGCGAGCGGCGACGACGGCTGGCGATGTGGCGGCAGCGACATTGGAAGCAGCGCCGTTGAGGAAGGAGAGGAAACCGGTGGAGGCGGTAGGCTCTTGCTCGTCAAGGAAGAGGTCCTCGGGAACCCTAAAGGCGCCGTGAGCGAAGACGACTGCGGCACCAACGACGAGAGCGGAGATGAGGACGGATCCGACGGATGTGAGGAAGACGACGAAGACGGAGAGGGCGGTGAGGCCCAAGAGGGTCTGGGTGTCCGAGAACGTGCGGCCGAAGATGACGAGGGGCTGATCGGAGGGGCGGAAGAGGTAAAGGAAGAGCCAGGCGGCGAGGAGGCCGAGGAGGACTAGGAGGGAAAAAGGGTGGGTGAAGAGGGAAAGAGCGACGGTGAGGGCGAGGACGGCGAGGTAGTTGACGCGGAAGTAGGAGTAGTTCTTGCGAACGCGGACGGTGGCGTCGGAGAAGGATTCTGGCTTGGCGAAGGCGGATCGGTCGAGGAGCTCGGACCAGGGGCGGCGCTGGGCGAGGCCGTTGCTGCAGGTGTCGGAGATGTGGTTGATGAAGGCGCGGAAGGCCGGGGTAGCGATGGGAGCCTGGGACTGGGCCGTGCCGCCGCCGACGGCTGTTGCGGTTGTAGAAATCGGGAGGAGCGGCGGGGGTGTCGGAGTCGACATTTTACGTTCTGGTGTCGGTGGACCTGGATTTTCGGTCTCGGATCTCTCAGATAACTTTTTGGGAGAATTTGTGGAAAAAATTTAGGGGGGTTTTGGTTAAATAACGGGGGACGGAGAGGGGCTAAGTTTAGAGGACTTGTGAGGTTCTGCTTGCTTCGTCGTTACGTTTCGCCGACGGAAAGTCAACGACGAAAACCAGGTCAAAGATATTTTGACAGCCCGATTGGTGAAAGGTGGCTTTTCTTCTTCTTGCTGTTTGCTCGGAGGGTCGTACTTGTATCGTTTGAGGGTCTCTCAGCCGCGTAAATCGTCAGAATCCAAATGGACGGCGTAGATGTAGAAGGAACTTAGTTGAACTCTCTTCCACTCGTTTTCTTGTTTTTATTTATTTATTCACCATTATTATTTTTTTCCATTAATTTCGTAGCTGATTAAAAGCATTCATCTTGAATCTAAATGAAAATTTATCGTTTATAATCAAAAGTTAGCTCTTAAATTCATAAATGTCAATTTTTATATAAACTCTCTAATCTACCCAAAACCTCACATTAATATACCAAAATACCCTCCTAATTACAAAACCACACACCAAAAAGGTGCTTTTTCTGTTCGTTCTTTTTCGTTCATTTTCAATTTAAGGTTCCATGTTGTAATTCGAAAATATAGAAAGAGGATGAACTTGAGAAAGAGGGTATTTGTTTTGATGGAATTGAGCCCATTATATTCTCAAGTTCATTTCATAATTGACAAACTTACAACCAAGATCATGAAGAAAATTACACAAAAATACAATTCATGTATGTTTTTGTGTAAGATTCAATTGGTATTTTGCATAAACTTTCATGGAAATTGCCATTAATGTTCTCCTGGCATTCTGCATATTAGTTGGATCACCAAAATCAGATTAGCTATTTAATCAAGAGATGGATATTGAGCATGAAAGGCATGCCCAGTCCAGCAATTATAACACGTTTGGATCCTTTTGATTTAATGGCCACTGCCATGGCTCCCACCTGTTCTAATAATCTAATTTATTCTTTGAACTTTATACTTGTGGTAGAGTTCTTCGAATTTTATACTTAGGATAGACAAGTAGAATGCGTTTTCATCTTTGCAATGGTGCAGCTAACGTATATTCACGGTGTCTTCCATGTTCAACCATGGCTGTAACTAATATACATTCATGTATGTCCAGGTTACCATTCCCAAAACCTCATTAACAATAACACAAGATTTGAAAGGGGTTTGACGTAACTAGTGTAAATTTTAAGGGCAATTGGGTCTATTCAAGTGGAATTTTGGCTATATTCGAAATATTTTATAAAAACTAACAGTTTTGAATTTACATGTTAAATTTTAGATATATACTATAAATTCTCAATCTAAGCAGTCACCAAATATGGTGTGAATTTAGCGATCTAGGTGAGAGAGGGACTGGTCTAAGGGTGGACTAGAGCCACGCTATTTGGTAGTACGTTTTTGTTCATGAAAACATCCGAGGTCCTCCATTTGGTTCATCTCTCCCACTATCGCTTGTATAAGAGACAATGTGTGTATATACAGTATAACTTTTTACGATACTAATAAATTTATTCAACGACGTTACAGTGTACCATATAACAGCATTTGGCATCGTGCAATGTAATTGTTAGACGTTGAGCACCAAGGGTAGGAGGTTTTGATGCCACTTTCTCACAACTCACAAGATTTGCACATGCATTTGAGTAAAACAAATGAAAGAACCATCCTAACTAATACCAGAGGCAGGCATAGTATGCTAACAAATGCAGTTTAGCTACACAGATTTTCAACCCAACGTTCCAAACACAACATTTAACAATTCCGCCGATTAACCACGGATAGAGTTCCGGGAAAGTATAAACGCAGTTACGCAGATGGGGACTAGATCAAGAACAGATTGGTAATAGTGCTTCTATGAATTGCAAGCATGGTGTGCAAGAAACTATGCCTATTCTGCATCGAGAAAGTCCGATTTCAAATATAGACTTTGAAAACAAATTCGAGTTTAAGACATAGAACAGACCCGGACAGATGCAAACACCAGATAAAATTGATTAACATAACACCAGGATTGCCAACTACGGGTTCCATAACATCATTGATCAGTACCAGATGAAAACAACTTATGCCAAACAGAGAATACAACAAGCCTTCAACCATTCCATTAGGTTCTACTTAAGCATACATACGGAAAATGACAATAAAGTCGTCTGTGATTTCAAAGTACCGTGATAATAATACGAAATCACCACTATATATAAAGCTGTCTGAAAGTTCATGGCGAACTTGAGACATTGTTCAAATGGTAAAACGTACTCTAAAAGGTAGACCCGTTCCATCCAAAGTTGGAACCCTGCAGAATAGCAAACATCGGAATCATCAAACATAGGAACAAGTAGAATAAATTGCTACTAAACATGAGTTTGGTTCCTGCGAGAAGCTAAAAGGAGCAGTGCTTGAGGTTTTAAATAGTAAAGATTTATTTACATGATCTAGTTCTGGTGTAAAGCATGCAAACACTGTGCATATTCTTGACTCTGATGGGCCTAAACAAACAGGAAGAATGCAATGAGAAGAAGCCATGCATATGCAAATGACCCTTTCTATGGAAAATTAAAAAGGCGAGATGTTGGCTTGCCTTGGTGTCATAGAACTTGAGAAAAAATCGTGACTTGGGCACAGACAACTTTGTCTCAAGAATTGCGGCAATTGCAGCACTTAGCTTCTTGTTCACATCAGGATTAAGGCCACCGATGGAGACCAACTCAGCGTATGCAGCTGGCTGCTCAGTCCCACCAAAAGATATGGGTACTGATCCCTTCAGCACAATCATCACATACTGCATATCAACACATTCGACAAGATCACCATCAACCACAGGATAAAAAGTTTAACCCCAAAAAGTCACTATGAACTTAAAATGTACAATTCTCCTCCAATATCAGTAGAGCATTAATTTTTTTTCTCAGCTAATTCAGGGATAAACGACATTGAAGTTATCATCAAAAGGCATGCCTATGAGGCTATAACTCAAGGGAAGTGATTTTCGCACACCCTATTTCTCCTCCTACGCACCCTGCTTACGGCCTTTCGATTAAATAAATTAAAGGATAATCAAGGGACAGAAATAACCAAGCTTGTACAGAGGAGAAAACTATTGTCCGAAAATCATTTTCCTAACTCTATTATAACATTCCTTCTGGGAGTGGTTACAGCAGGACAAAATCACTTCTAGTGTGATAAATTGAAAAGTTCTTATGTGATTACAGGCAGGCATTAAACCTAAGGCTATTTGACCGACAAAACATAAGAATTAGTGCGAGATGAAAATACATTTTTCTTTCTATTAGAAGTGAAAAGCGCAGGAGAAAGGATATTGCATCTATCTCGAGTTGCTCCCTTATCCAGCGATTCGTTCTATTCTCTCTGAGGTCGGGTACTCGTAGGTGAAGCATCTAGCTTAGGGGTTTGAGTCGAATCGTAAAACAAGCCCTAAGAACTACATTCTCTCCAAAACAAAACAAAAAAATCCACAATCCCTAACAAGTTCAACTTGCTAAGTAATTTTTACCATTTTTCTGAATGCTCAAGTTATACATCCTAGAAGTAAAGAAATTACTCAGTCATCCCCCAAAATTACTTAGTCGAAATTCCTGAACAAATAGTGAAAATTACCAAAACGATTTACCCTAGTTTTGTTTTAGCAAATAGGTACCTAAAACCAAGCTAATTCACATATACACTCTTAATTCATCAAAAATAAATGAAACTAATTTAAAATATGAACACAGAAATACATGAAATTTACAGTTTAGGAAAAATATTCTAAAATATCAGTAAAAGGTTTGTAAATGTCTGAGAGAGAGAGGGAGAAAGCCGTACAGCCTCGGGCTTGCCGATGATCTTGGCGACGGTGGAGGTGGCTTCGGAGAGGATGGCGGAGGTGTCGACGCCGTCCAGGTTCACGTTCGCTGAAATGTTCAGGCACGGCATCGTTTCGTCTTCCCGAACCTTCTCTCTCACTCTCTGGCTGTTTTCTGCAAATGCGTTGGTAAACAAAAACCCTCACTCTCTCTCCTGTTCTGTTGTAAGGAGGGAGGATAATATCCAAAATGCCCCTTGTGGGTCCGGCATAATATTTTCACTCTTTGGGCCCATTCTAGTACATCAGATCCGGTGATCGGCCCATAAGAGGGGAAAGCACAACTCTGTATTTGCATTTCTGGGCCTTCTCATGTTTAGTTTAAAAGTCCTTCAGTTGAGTAAAATTGGGCCGAACTTTGGGCCTACTGGTTAGAAATCTAAAGTCTTGTTTGGTATCTTTTTGGGTTGAAATACGGCCCAAAAGCGGTGTTAATCGACATCATCTACGTGTGAATATTCCTGTACCAACCTTGCTAGTTCTAAGAAATGGAACAATGGACAAAGTGATATAAGTATCTAACACAAAATGAATTAGCAATCGTGAAGATGTCCAAAATCTTCCAAAAACCAATACAAAACTTCATGATCTAGTGTGAAATACTTTCAACACCCTCCCTAAAATTTAATATACGGAGAAATTCTAGCAGTCAAAATTGTCACACCCTAAAATTTGAGGCGCATAAGGGAAACAAAAAAAAAAAAAAAAAAAAAAAAGGTGGTAGTTGAAGAGTGTAAATAAATTATTAAAAAAAAGAGTCATACAAGAAAATCTAAACTCATCAAATCAAATACGAGGAAAGTGGAAAGCTACTAGTGAAACTTTAAGATTCAATAATAAAGGGCTTCTTGTTGTACGCATAAAACGACATGTAGCATAAAATTCATTAAAAATATCTCGTTTGTCCAATGGGTGTGAAATTTTTCCAGACTCATAATAGACATATAGGGACTAACTTGAGTCAAGGTTCTGTGGGTTTTTGAGTAAAAAAACTGAAGTCTAAAACATGCATACCGAAGTTTTTCCAACCTTTCGAACAAGATATCCGTCATCCGCT